TGAATTACTAATATCCATATTTATGTGGTAATTAATCACTATGAGAAATTGAACTATTAATATATTCTATTTAGCATTTTCATGTTGCTTAATTTCTTTCTCAGGTTCAAATACTCTACTGGCTAATGGATACTTTCCATAGACTTAATCTTTGTAAATTTTAGAAAAACATTTAAGTTGACAAATGAAGGCTAACATTTGGTCATGCTTTAATAGGCTGAACACCAAGCAAATCCTATTCCTTTATTTGTTCATTTTGCAATAAGTCTTGACATTACCTTCTCCTCTTTCTTAAATTTGCTTACTTAGCAAGGCACAATGCAGTTTTGATGTGCAATCTGATTTCAAAAGAATCTTTGAGACAGCTAATCTTCTGTATACTCACTGTAATTAAATATTAAGCACAAATGGTATATAAGATACTCACTTTCTTGAGAACCTCTAAGCACTGAAGAGCAATGACATAAAAAAGTATAGATTTTCAGAGTGTTTTACAGATTTTTCAGCTTCAACTTTTAACTCTTATAGCACCTAGAGCTTGCAAAGAGTAAAGCATTATATATCATAGACTGGAAATATCTTTATTAATTGTCCTTCACTATGTCCTAAATTCTCATTTCACCGTAGTTTAAATTAATCTGCTAGCTGCTTGCTTCATCCTGGAAAATATACAATACGTAATGCCATACTGACTTAAAACTAATAATCAAGTTCGGTAGTTTGTCTCTTATGGTAAATGCCACCAAAGTTTGTTTTGTAAGAGAGCATGCAGCTATCTTTAACCTTTTAAATATAGTAACTGATTTCCACCGACATTCCTTTGTCAAATAATCCCTGCCCTATCTCTATCATCCAAAATTTAATCATGTTATACTTCCATAAATTCACAATCACCATTATACTTTTACTTTTCTTAAAAGTATCTCTATCTCCTTCAAGAATAAGTGACCTAACTCCAGACTTGGTGAATAAATTCACCACATGACTTTCATGATTTATTCCCACTTTTTACAGACTGAGATCCTAAGTTTTCAAAAATGTGCTTTTCTTGAAAAAGTAAACAAATACATGGTGAAAACATTCAATAATAGTGCATTAAATATATGAGCTTATAGCCCCCTTCACTAAATATCCCTATGTTCCCATCTTCACAGGGCCTTCTCAACAAAATAGCAGCTAGGCTTTGAATTACCAGGCAGGAGCAATCTGACCAAAGAGAAAAGACCTATCAATACCAATAGTAAAGGTCTCTCATGTGAAATGGGCCAGCAATGAGTGACCTATCAGTCAAAAGCACATTCCATGCATACAGAGCTTCGAATTTGTCTGAAAATATAAACATATAGCGAAAAAGATTACCAGATATTTGAGAAAAAGCCTCTAATATGAGACACCCAAAATACAAACAGAAAAAAGGAATGAGGCAATGAAGGGAGCTGGATAAAACTTCAAAGAAAGTAAAATTAATAATCAGAATAAAAGCTACTGAATGCACGAAACAAAAACAGGAAACAATACAAAGGTAAATTCAGAGAAAAAATTTTTTAAATATGACAATAAACTGAAGAGAATGGATAGAAGATTTGCTCAACAAATCTCAAGAAATTTGAGAATGCACGAAACAAAAACAGGAAACAATACAAAGGTAAATTCAGAGAAAAAATTTTTTAAATATGACAATAAACTGAAGAGAATGGATAGAAGATTTGCTCAACAAATCTCAAGAAATCTTTTAAAAGGTACAATGAAAAGATAAAGAGACAACAAGGATGGACCTCGAGATGATCATGCTAAGCAAAATAACCAAGACAGAAAAAGTTGAAAGTCACATGACATCACTTATATGTGGGATATAAACCTAAAAGCAACAAATGAATAGGACAAACAGAGACTCATGGACATGGACTGTAGACTAGTGGTTACCAGAGGGTAGAGAGTGTGGGGAGTGGGGAGGTAGACAAGGTAAAGGGGGTCAAATATGTGCTGACAAAAAGAAATCTAACTGGGAGGTGAACACACAGTGTTGTATAAATAAATATATACCTTACTGTTAAAGTGTACAGCTGAAACTTATTCGATTTCGTTAACCAATGTCACCATAAAAAAATAAATTAATTAAAAAAAAAAGACAAAGAAATGAACAGTAAGAAAGAAGAAAAGGAGAAACATAAGATAAGTAAGTATATGACATTCAGTATCAGAATGCAGGTAACCCCTTTCTGCGTTTGCATTCCGCCATTTCACTTTTACCAAAGACCTACATTAGTATCATAACAGCTTTTTTTCATGAAAGTGAAAATTCTTTTGGTTAGTGAAAACAAGTACTAATGTAGGTCTTTGGTAAAAGCAGTGATATAACGTGAACTTTCGGAAAGCAGAGAGAGAGAGGGGATACTCTTAGGAAAGCAGGAGAAACCTATAATAGAAATTCCCAAAAAACTGGACAGCAAGAGGGAAGGACGTTCTCAAAGAAATACTTTTATTTTTCAGAACTGAACATCCTGAGTTTTTGGATTGAAAGGACTATTGAGTGCTTAGCACAATCAATGAGTAAAAGATCTTTACCAAGTTATATTAATATGAAATTTTAAAACATCAGGGGCAAAAAAAAAAAAAGATTCTGCTAACTTCCAGAGGAAAGAAAGAACAGGTCAAGATTCAGGATGGCAACTGATTTCCAGAGAACAACACTGAAAACCGGAAAATAATGGGGCAGTGCTTTCAAAGTTCTAGGGGAAAAGGTGTGTCATTCTAGATTTCCACTCCTGGACAAACGGTTGCCTAAGCATGAGGGCAGAATAAAGACATTTTTAGGCATAAAAGACTTCCAACATCTATTTACCATGTCGCCTTTCTCGGGAAGTATGGAGGATTGTACTCCACTTCAAAAAATGAAAAGAGAGAGGAGGACAGGGGAGATAGGGTAAAAGAGAAATTTTGACAGATGAAGAAGTGAGATCCTGGAATGACAGTTCTGCATCGGGACTAGGGAACAACCATTCTAGATGGGACAGTGAGATAGAGAGATACTGGAGGCATTTCTAAAATTACAATAAAAATTTACATATTACTTGACATGGTAAAATATATTAACAATATACATTTGGTTCTGGAGATGAGTCTTGGAATGAATTAATAATAGGTAAATGAGAAGTACACAAAAATTAAGCAAACTGAAAAGGAGAAAATGATTAATTCTGGGGAAAGTAAGAAGGTATATAAGGAAGGAAACAATAATTGATGATATACTAATTAATTTAACAAAATATGATCTAACTATACTGAAAGGATGGGGAAGGAGAAATTGTGAGTGTGTGTATCTTGGAAGGGGTTTGGGTAATAGAGTCAAATCCTCATTTTCTTTTGTAGGAAATCAACAGTAAATCTGAAAATTAAATCAAGAAATATTGGTATAAGCATGTTATCTTGAAATATGAAGGCAGACACCAAAAGAAACTGCTAGATTTGAAAGGGATTGCCCTTGAGGAGAAGAAAAGAGGAAAGAGGGATGCTATATTTTATTTAAACCCTTTAGAGCTCTTTGACTTTTGACAATTTGTACATATAACTTTGATAAAGAGATATTAAAATATAATTCTATGCAATGAAAGTTTTAAACATAAACAATAGGATATTATACATTCTTCTGTACCTTGCTGTGTTCCCATAAAAACATCTTATAGATCCTCTCATATCAGCATGATAAATGGACTTCATTCTTTTTCATAGTTACATACTAATTCACTGCATATATTTGTTGACATACAAATTTAGAAATATATATATTACGATATTACAATCCCAGAAGTAAAATTCTCAGTCAAAACTTTAAGATATTTCTATTTCTCTCCAAAGATGTTGCACCCAAATTTATAGCCTCACCAACAACTGCCCCACACACTTATCAACACTATATACTATGGAACCATTCTATCTTTTCAATCTGGTATGTGAAAAGACGTATTGACATTATCATCATTAAGGATTTAACTTGTGTTTTTTAAAATTTATTTTTCTAAAAACTGTTTACTCAATACCAATTTAAAAATAATATCCTCATTCAGTCTCTTCTCCATTTTCTTATTTTCTCTATTCCATTTCTCATAAACACTTGTCCTTCTCTTCCTTTACAATACTGCACAAAATTTATCTTTTCCAGAAAACTTTTATAATAATGCTTTTACTTCCTCTGAGCACTGTATATTTATATGCATATAGTCTCAATTATAGATATGTTCTTCAGTTTAAGATGTGTGCCACAATACTGACTGTGATATAAAGAGAATTATAAAGATATAAAGATGTAAAGAGAATTATATGTTTGTATTGGTTTTCATCTTACAGTATTTCACATAATTTAAAATATGACTGATTGCAAGATGTACCATTACTTTACGAGCTACTAAGAAAGTAAAATTGCTGCCAATTCAAAGGAAAACCACAATGCTTTCTTAGCATTTAAAATTTTTATCTTATTAAATATTTTACAATTAATATTTCTGCATCCTTTGTAAGTAAAATCAGCAGGTAAAAATGTTAATTTATTGTATGGCCATAAAAAGTTGGATAATTAGTGTATTTTGAAAACTGGTAAATTTCTAGGCGTCACCTTGGTAAGATGATTCCTACAAAATAACCAACATTAGTATAAAAGGGGCTGCTATAGTGTTGGTTCAATAATTTTAAGCCATTTAAACAATCAGTTCTGTAAAGCAAAACTGATACTCCATTAAGTCACATGTAAACTTTCTGAAAGCTACCCAGTACCAATGACCATAATTCTATAAAGTACGAATTCCTATTATACACTGAGAGGCTTTATGGCTCTGTGGTTTATTTACCAACAAAAGTGTTGATGAGATTAGTTTCATTGGCATGTACAGCTGTAGCAGAGGGTGTAAGATTGCCAGCGGTTTGGCAACCAACGAAGAGTTCCAAAGTCTGGAGATGACATTTTTCAGAGAGACGTTAGTCCGCGGATATACAGAACAGCAAAGTACTGTAAGTTTCTTGATTCAGGAACAGGTATATTTATTTTAAGATAATGTAAGTATGTCAGACAGGTTGCTTTACAATTATATTTTACAATAAGAACAATAAACTGGAACTTAAATAAATTTCTTAATATGAACTCATTCTGAGACGTACTAAAAACTTTGATCATGTAGACTCTCTGTAAAAAGTATGATACTAAATTTTTTATGTATAGCTTTATCTTTCCAAAGAATAGTTTGTAGAAGGAAATAGAATTGCATACATGTATCTAGTACATTACTATTTTCAACGCACTTAAATTTTTTTCAATTGATGTAAACAATAATCCAGTGAATTATTTTTACCTCTCATTTTATAGAGGATAAAGTTCAAGAGTGATAATATGTAGGGAATCATTGTAATTTACTATTCTTTCCCATTTTAATTGACCAGAATATTTTGCTTATTCCCATTTAAATATCATGCAGCAGTCTTATGAACAGATGAATATCCATTCACTCTGATAAGCAATGAAGAATAAAGATTGCATATGTAGTATTTCTTGGGAGAATGGCAGAACTATAAATAATTTTAATGAGCTAATTCAGTTTTTAATGTACATTTATAGGACTGTTATAAATGGCAATTTTTCCATGTATGCAAGATAATATAATTTATACTCAAAGATAAAAATACTTGCATTTTTTCAATTATTTTAGATAGCAAATAATATTGAGAGCATTCAGTGTAAGGTAAAATAGACCTGGGGTATGTTAAATGGGTGGGTACGCAGGCATTATCATTTAGTAAATCAATTCAATCAACCTTGAAAACAGGTGAAATTAAGTTATTATGCTATACAGAATCCTCAAATTTAAGAATCATATATCTATATTAATGTCATAAATATCAGATAAAGAATGCGAAAAGTCAAATACATAGTCAATGCTAATGAAAACATTTTCTTGGAAATGCCACTACTTTTATAAATAGGCTGATGCACAGCTATCAATTTCACATTTAATAACTTATAAAAACAAAATCAGTAGTTCCTATTTTCCTGTGCAAAAGCAAGGTAATAGTTGAAGTGTGTGCAACTGACATTAAATACATCTCGGAAAAGAAGATACATGAACATATCTTCCAAATATAACACATTAATATGTTAATTTAAATTCACTGTTCTACTTTCATATAGTATCCTTTTATAAACTAAACTTTTTTAATTGAACAGATTTCAATTAAGTTCTATTCACAGTATTTTCTCCATGTGAAAATCAAGTTTTGTTTTTTTTCAATAGAAAGTTTTTCTTTTCTCTCCTAAGACATATTATTTTGGAACAAAAAATTATATTTAAATTATGCACTATTACTGACTGGTTGGCATCACTCTGCATGTGGTCCTTTTGCAAGAAAAAAAACGTTAAGGTCTACCTAATATTTACATCAGTCTTCTAAACCATTTTATATTAGTCTGTTACAGTACTCATTTTGATGCTATAGACTTTACTAACAATATACAATAAGTTACAGAGTTGTAAGATATTTTTACTAGTGTTATAACATATACTAACTGCATTCAGGAGCAGCATCATGTTAAAACAATAATGGCAATGACAATGACTATTGCTACAACAACTACCACTATTCTACCATCAATGTGTGATTTTTTGAGGAAAAAATAATCTACATTTTAAATTTCTTTACCATATACATAAAATAATACCAGACATTAGACATTCTGTTGACTTTGGCAAGTGAACAAAAACTTAAAAAAAACTTTATATGATTCAAACAATGCATGTTAAGTACTTTTAAAAGTTAAAAGTACAATGTAAACCATCATATTGTATAGTAGCTTAATTTCTATTTGTTTTTCATAACAATTTCAATATAATTAAAAATCAGATAAATAATATGGATTTATCAACAATTCTAGGGCCCTAAGATAAATCTTAAGGAATATTTTTAAAGTAAGTTCACAGTCTAAAACCAAAGAAAATAAGTCGTTCACTTTTAAGTCATTTAGATTCTAGGAACCATATATTATTTTGAAACTAGGCAAATTTCTAATGAAACTTTAAAAATATTTAAAATACATTCTTATATAGTCATTGGAAGTATCTATATACTTCTGAAAGGAATGAAAAAGTGCAGAGCTCAGTAAATCAAGACAAAAGTTCAACGTGGTAACACATATTTGTAGTTAGTACAAAGATACATTTTATGTGTCTTACACTCAAAAACTCAGTTCAAGAAAAAAAATATAATATAATTAGCCTTTTCACCTTTTCCTTCATTTCTACAAGTTCTGATCTCAGACCTGCTTCTGTTCTCTGAAATTTTTACTTCTTGCATTTGTCATGTAGATAATAATCCTTTAAATTTTGCTTTACAAGTACCTAATTAAAAAATATATAAAAGGAATATTAATTTAGGGTGAAATTCAGAGGTGATGGCATTTATCAAATATTATCATGATAATAAGAAACAGTAAAGCACACAACAAAAACAACCAAAAGAAAATATAAATATCAAATACTTAATCATAAAACATTTCCTTTAATTTAAAAGTTCAGTATTTTGTTTAGTAACTTGTCTAATTATCAGTCTTATAAAAGTCTAGAATAAATGTAGTAATTTTTATCTATGTCCTACTATATAGAAACAATAGTGTCAGTGTGACACTATGACAAGTTAGTTGGGAACACTACCTATCAGCATTTCCCAAAATGGGTTCCGTAAAACATTAGGCCTCAAAGCTACTTTGCAAAAGACCGAATACTCCCATTTTCTTTCGGAGAGGCACATAAATAGTGGCATATTAAGGTCGCAAAAGTCATGACGGGGAAGGAACCTATTTAACCATGTCTATTATGCTCTTTCTTAAGGGTACTGACTAAGCAGTTTTTTTTTTTTAAAGAATAATATGCTCTGATACCACTTGGAACCACTTTGGTAAAACTGCTACAAATATAAATGTTTCAAGCTTGAGAAAAACAGCAAGAAATATATATTTGCAAGCATGTAGAAATGAATAAAACCTTCGAGTAGGGACCTAACTAATGAGAATCCACAATACACCAAAATTTTATAGCTTGACTTTTATAGGTTGACTTTTAAAAGAGAAAAGGGAAAACAAACACCTCATTTTGAAGATCAATAAACGTGAGGCATTTCTTTGAGCTGATACAAACTGAAGGGACTGCCTATCTATTCCTCAAATATGGCATTCTACAGTGATAGTTAATAACAAATAAGATGGCTTTGCTATTAGAATGGGGCTCAAATCCTAGTTTGTGACTTACTAGCAAGCTATCTTGGGCATATTACTCACTAAGCCTCTATTTCCTCTGCTGTTAAATGAGATATCTATCTGTGAGGACTAAATGAGATACTCCATGTGGAAGAACATTTAATACAGTGTCAGGCACCTAAAATAAATCTTAAAAAAAAAATTAGCTGCTATTATTGTAGCAGATATTTGGAATCATGATCCTAAGAAATAGTAACAAATATTCCTTAGATGTTAATCATCTTAGATTACAAAAGTCGATCTGGAGTCATTATTCTGTATCTGTTCAGATATCAATCTGCAAATTAAACAAATTTCCAATCAAGGTACTCCAAGAGAACTCCAGTCAAATGAGTATTTATTCCAGTTCATTTTTAGATCACAACTTAATTGTGGCAAAGTAGTGCTTTATTATAATGATTAATTATTAAATTGAATTACTGGTCTAAAATTAAATCATTACAAGAGTAATTCTTATATTTAATTAGTGACCTAAAAATTAAAAACAAATTCTTTCAGCTATTCGTTAAATGTCATAACAGAAAAATAAATCATGTCCTTTCCATATTGTTACTGAACAAATTTAGACAGAGAAGCTTACATACTTATCTGCTATGAAGTTCCTTCTTCAGACAGGATTTGAAAGTGGGATACTTCTGAACTGTTTTATAACCCTGTGAAACAGGATTAAAAACGTAAATGTAAATAAAATGTCATGAGGCCACAGGTATGCAATAAATAAAGTAAGCAAAAATAAAAACACATAACACCAAGGGAGAAAAAAATACAGCGTCAGAGGTTTATAATATAGTTTCTATTTTAATTTGATCTTGCTACTCTAAAATTTTTGAAGAACAATAAATTTCAATATATGCCCTTTTGGGTTTTTGTGCCATCATCTTAAATATTAACAACTAACCACTAGATGGCAGTTAAGTACACAGTATCTTTACCAAGACAGCTTGGATTTAAAAAAATCATTAAAAATCTTTAAAAACATTGTATAAGAATAATCTTAATTTTTAAAATATATATAACTTTTTCTCTTTTTAAATGTACAATGCTTAGGGGTATTCTTACCAAAGAGGGAAGATTGAATATTCCAGTTGTTAATAATTTTTTTTCATTTGTGGTACAATCTACAAATATATTAGATGCATAAACATTTAATGATTCATGCTATATTTCATTCTTTAAAAAGTATTTTTGAGAAAAAAAATCATCGATTTTTCTCATTATTTTGCAGTGTAGGATGATAACAGGAAGAATATTAAAAGGACAAAAAAGTTTTTACTTTATTTTCCATATAAATAGTACTGAACATGCAGTGACTTAAGTGCTGCAAGTTGCCTAGTGGAAATCTGTGTCACATACAATGAGAAACAGTGATATTTCTTTTTCTATACTAACAAGTCTGACGGCCAGTGTGCAGATTGAATTCATCGAAAATATTTGGCAACATTTCCAAATGATTTTATATTTTAAAAAAGCATTATCATCTCAAATTGTTTTGGGCTAGAGACTTATACTTTTCCTTTTCAAACATAATAGTTCATGTTTATAATATTAAAAATTTACATAAATTATTTCTGAAACTTGGATATTTTCTTTCAGTTTTTAAAAAGGATATCAATAGGCTTGAAATTTATAGTTTTACCCGGAATCCTCTATGGAGTCTGTCTTTCATAATTCCAATAAATTCTTTATAACTTAATTGATCATCTTTGTCAACGTCAAAAATCTTGAAGACTGTGTTCACTAAATGTGGCGAAAGTTTGAGGCCAGTAGCTACGTAGACGGCACGCTTAAATTCATCTAGATAAATGTTACAGAAAAGAAGTTTTTTTCTACATGAGTCATGATTCTTCATTACTCATGTTATCTTTAGGAAACAAAATTTTTATAGTTTTAAAGGGCCAAGAATAACTGTATCTTAGTTTAATAATGCATTCATATTCAATGAATATTTAATGAGCATCTATTATCAGCAACAGACACTTTTAGAGGTTATTAAGACGAATAAGTTCTCAGGAAACTTACAGTTCAGATGGGAGATGAGATACCTCCCCAAATAACCATTATACAAGATGACACAAAAAGTACCAACAAAGATATAAGAATTTGGAATTGAGTGATTCCTTCTGTCTGTAGTGTGGAATAGGGAAAGGAGAGAGGAGAGCAGCGATTAGGAAAGGCTGCAATTTTGTATCTGAGCTGAGCCTGAAGGATAGATGATTTCAACATGTAGAGATAAAAGAAATGGCAGATGAGATACATGAATGAACAACGGCATGGAGGGAACACAAGTATAAGGTACATTTAGAAAACAATGAGCAATCTGGACATACAGGAGCTAGAGCTCTGTAAAGGGACTTTGAGGAGCGGAAACTACATTCTTTAACACGCAGTTGGGGAACTAAAGTTTTCCATAGCAGGTGTGTTGTAGAAAAGTTAATCTGTGTTTTAGAAAGTTTATTTTGTGAGTTGTCAAGGAAACATTGGAGAGGAAAGTGGGTAATGGCAAGAATACCACTGATGTGCCTACTGCCTTTTAAGAGGTAATCATCTGAAATAAATGTTGTAGCAGCAGTAGGAAAAACATATATATACTCCTAGCACCTGCAAGAGTATTCAATTAATTTTTTCCAGTTCCACAAAGTAAAAGAACAACTGTCCATTCTGAACCAGGTAAACAGACATTGACTTTTTTTTTTCTTTTTGAAGTTAATTATGTTTATCATGGTAGTAAATGCTGGTCTGGGAAGGCAGGGTTCCCAAAAGTTTTGGTGTTAAAACATTAAATTGAGTTGAGTTGAGAAAGACAACTTATTTGAACACTTAGACTAGACAAAGGGTGAAATATGACAAATTTTCAGGTTCCTCTTCCTCAGTGAATGAATAGATGAAGCTAAATGAGGGGTTTAATCTCTGTTTTGGGGAGAGAGATAATTATCATCAACACTTAGGGGACACGGTTTGGATTCTCCCTAGAACTTGGCAACAAAATAAAAAGACTATCTTGCCATTTATTAGATTATAGCAGACACAGGTCAAATCACCTTAAAGACATAACATTCTTCCTATGGCAAGAATATTTTAAAAGGATATGGCTATGAGGGAAGAAGGGAAAGTAGTCATAGCCACAGAATCCTAGAAAAAGAACTTGACTCATTAGTCTACCTACAGGGAAGGAATGAGCTGGTCTTGAGGTCAACACCATTCTGAATTCTATGAGTTGTATTTCTATATAAATTAAGGAAAATCAACATTCAATTTTATATATCATTTTTAAAACTTGGTTAATGTAAGTCCATAGCTAAAAGCTGATTCTGTTGACAAAATTCAGGTTTCTGAGCCAGCAGAGACTGTGGGTAAAATCAGTAATATAAACACCATCCTGTGGTGATATCTGAGGCATGACCAGCTGGCTCTTCTCTAGGTAGATTCACAACCCTCAATGTTAGCGAGTGGCCATGAGGTTTCTTCCTCTTTGAACCTTTACAAACATAATTAGCTTTTCCCCAGAATATGAAATGAAGAGAAATAATACATTTAATACAAAAATTCAGCATAATTCCCTAAACTTCCTTTAAGGAAAACAGATCTTCCACTGAAGTACACAACAAACTTTCAGGCAAGTTGATGGCTTATATGATCTATCCAATTAATTTTCTGTCAAAGTCCCTAGAAACAATGTAGGATTATTTTTTGCTTTTAATTTTTGAAAGATACTTACCTTGCCCTATAGAACGACTTGCAAAGTTATACATATTCAGGGCTATTGCAAAGTCTTCTAGGTTGTTTAAAAACTGGAAAAATGACCTGAATTCATCAAATGTGATACCCTATATTGAGAGAATATATGTAAATATACTTAGTATTTAATAAGTATATTAAAATAAGTAGTATTAAAATAAGTATCTATACTAACTAGAAATAAATAGATTAAGCATGTGTAATATATTTTGTAAGTAAACATTTTCAGAGCACATTCTAAAACCTTCTTTCCCCAAATGGAATGTAAAATTCACTCAGATTTTTTTTTCCCACTGGGCAGCGTTGCTACCATTAGAAATGACAAGTGAAAATATTTTTTACAACACTGTCACATCAGCACAAAGTTCCAAAAAATGCTACAATAAAAATGGATAAAAAATCTTCAATTTTAAAATCTGTATTTTAGCTGAATTTTTTAAACCCTTAAATATGATGAAGATCAAATTTTGGAATATGTTATTTCTACTTCAATTACAACTTCTCTTTATTAGCAAGGTGAATCCTCACTGTCTTTTCACATTTTTCTCTTTCTCTTTGCTTATATTAACTTATGGCTACTTCAACCCTGGATTCTGCTTTGTGACCTGATCCCACCTGCCATGTTTTCCAGAGAGGACTATCTGAATCAGTTAGGGAGACTGAGACAGAAGGGGTCTGACTTGATGTGGAAAGCTTGTTGTCAGAGAAACTGGTCACTGCTCTGGTTTTGTATCGGTTTATGCTGCAACCAACTGCTACAGCAACAGTCTGTCTTAAGGTGACAGGTTAATGCTAGTAAAAGTAAAAAACAGGAGGAAGGGATATTTTTAAGCAAAGTGTAAACAAAAATGTCAATGCTTTTGCGAAGCATAAAATTAAAAACTAAATCAAAGAATGACAGAACACAATGTTCACCATCTGAACCTTCACATATTCAAAATAGATTTCTCATGTTTGAAAAGACAATTAAATTCAAAACCATACAATAATTCTTTTGTGTAGATTAAACTCTTTGTGTATGGAAATATGAAACTGTAAATTGAAAAATGGCAATCATTTTGATGGAGATAATTTAAAAGAATCCATTCTTAACAGCAGTGAGAGAAAGAGTCTAGGAGATTAAAAGAGGGAGGGTACAGTATAGCCATTTCTTCTCCCTCCCCACTCGCACCCCCAGAATCACTTCTGTAATGAACCATTAGGACTTGAATGTGTCGTAATTGTTAGAAGTAGAGTGAAAAGAAGTAGCTTACATTTTAACAAAAATAAAATGATGATAGTAACTGAAAAATTTAAAGTATCAAAAATATATACATACTGAGAGTTCAGAAATAAATCAAATATCTGTGGTCAACTGATTTTCAGTAAGGGGCCAAGATATTTATTGGAGAAAGAACAGTTTCTTTAACAAACAGTGCTGAAACAACTGGGTATCCACATGTAAAAGAAAGAAGTTTGAGTCTTATTTCACTCCATATATAAAAATTAACTCAAAATGGATCAAAGACCTAAATTTAATAGTTCAAGTTAAAAAAACTTGTGGCATTAATTGACACTATCAAAAAAGTAAAAAAGACAACTTACAAAATGGAAGAAAATATTTGCAAATCATGTATCTGATAAGAGTCTAGTATCTAGAATAAAGAACTTATACAAATCAACTGTAAAAGGACAAGCCAATTAAAACATGGATGAAGAACTTGAATAGACATTTTTTCTAAGAAGGTATACGAATGGCCAACAAACACAGGAAAAGATGTTCAGCATCATTATTCATTGGGGAAATGCAATCAAAACCACTGTGATACAACTTCACACACACTAGGATGACTACAATTAAAAAGGCAGACATAACAAATGTTGGTGAGGATGCAGAAAATTATAAACTTCATACATTGTTAATGGGATTGAAAATGCTGTAGCTACTTAGAAAAACAGTTCTTCAAAATGTTAAACATTAAAGTTGCCATGTGACCCAGCTCTTTACTCTGAGGTATATACCAAATTCTCCAGAATTCAAAACGTGTCCACACAAAAAAACTGTACACAAATGTTATAACGACATCATTCAAATAGCCCAAATTGAAAACAACTCAAATGTCCACCAATTTAAAAATTGATAAAATGCGGTGTATCTATATAATGGAGTATTATTTGGCAATAATAAGGAATGAAATGCTAATATTTGCTACAAGATGAATGAAACTTTGAAAAGTTTTGCTAAGTTAAAGAAGCCAGATGCAAAAGGTGTCATGCGATACCACTTATATGAAATGTCTAGAACAGACAAACCCACAGAGAGAGGAAGCAGATTAGTGGTTGCCGGGGGCTGACGGAAGGGGAAACGGGAGTGACTGTTTAATGGGTGCAGGGTTTCTGTTTGGGATGATGAGAAAGTTCTGGAACTAGTAGTGATGGTTACACAATACTGTGAATGTAGTTAATTCCATCAATTTTACTCTTTAGAACGGTTAAAATTTTTAAAAAGGTTATTTTACCACAATAAAAAGTTACATATACTTATTGAAATATGTCATTCAGGATGTGAACACACGTACATCAGTGCACTTGAACTGAATTGCAGCAAAGCATAAGTGGACAAAACTGAGATAGTTAATAAGACATAATTTAATAAAAAGACAAACCAGAAAATGCTGTAGATATCAAACTGCTACTATAATTACACTGCTTGTACTAGTTGATAATGTGCTCTATCTGTAGCCATGACAGTGCTCTCAGTGTGTGCATATGTTTATCTTTGGTTGGGGTACCAAAGCCTGCAATAATTATTAGAAAACTAGAAAGAGACTAGGGAATGATATCATGGAAAATGGTGGAGTAGGGTGCTTAAAGAATTAGTCCCTCTGCTGAAACAATGATAAGCTGCGAAATACTGATAGAATCAACTGTTTTTTTGAACTCTAGAATCTAATCCAAAGTTTATAGCAAGAAGGGGACAGATTAATGAAGAAGAGGGTGCCTGAAATTCAGTGAGAGAGTGTTGTGGTGTTTTTATCCACTGAACTACCATTTTTATTTTTCGGTGCTGTGGCAGCTTTTGGGACAGCAGCTGGTGTTCCTGGTTTGGCTTCCTGGTGCCAGAGTGCTACTATGGACCTTATTCTTAAAATGTTGTGGTGTGCTATTTGACCTGTCTAGTGGTTCCCCAAGGGATCAGCACAGAAGCTGACTTTTGTTTCACACCCTTCTTCTTGGACCGAAGTGGCTTTCTTGGCAACAGTGACATCTATCAAAAGATTTAAAGACATACACACTCTGTGCCAGCCTGGGGCAAGGGATAGTAGAAGGGACAAGTGGCAGACAGAATACAAAAGCCTGGAAGAGGCGAACGAGAATGGTTACTGGTAGAACATGAGGAGCTCAAAGGGCTATTGCATATATCTGGAAAATTGGATATGCCTAGGAATTGATGCATGCTTTGAAAAAGACCTGAGAGGACCCTAGCTTACCACATCTGGCAGATCTATGGGCTCTGTGGAAGCAGGAGGTAAAAACAAATGAAGAGGCTTAGGTAGCCTGGCTTAGTGTTGAAGGAGTGCTCTAGCTCAGGGCTGAGTTGCAAAGACTAGGAAAATACTATATTGTTTTCTTCCTGGCTCTGGACATTTAAGGAAATCTTTGTCAGTTACTGGCTAACCACTAAGATAATGGAACACAATATTTAGTGACTGTACACAACAAGAAATACAGTCTCCTCCACTTGTACAGTTACCTTTCCAAGTTACTTTGCAAACTGACAACTGCAGGTGAGAATCTGATTTCTAGAGTTACTACAATATAATATTCAAAATGTTTAGTTTTTAGTAAAACATTTACAATGCATACAAAGTATTAGGAAGTATAATCCATTCACAGGGGAAAAAAAATAAATCGACATAAACAATCCCTGCAGAAGCCCAGATAGTGGACTAAAAAAATGAAGAATTTAAATCAACTGTCTTAAATACACTCAGATAACTAAGTGAAACTATGGACAAAGAATTAAATCAGGAAAACTAAGTATGAACAAAATGAGAATATCAATAAAGAGACAGAAATTGTAAAAAGAAACCAAACAAAAATTTTGGAGCTGAAAAGTACAAAAACTGAAATGAATAACTGACTGGAAAGGCTGAACAATAGAATCGAATAAGTAGAAGAAATAGTGAACTTAAAGATAAGACAATTGAAATTATTCAGTCTGAGAAGCAGAAAGACGAAAGAATGAAGAAAAGTGAACAGAGTCTAAGACACTTGGGGACACCATCAAGTGTACCAGTATATACATCATAGGA